GGCCTCAAGGCCCTTCAGTACATGCCATCTGTCCAGTGCGTGATTTCTGACTTGCTGGAATGTGTGCAAGAAGGCAAGCTGTGGGGCCAAGGAGAAACGGAGGCCCTCGCAGATGCGAGCCGTGCATACCCTGCAGTTTGGCGGCAGCTGGTGGCGCTGAAGAGAACGCCGCCCGCTTTTGCATGGGTCCCGTCACGCAGGACTGCGGATGAGGTTCTCTTCCCTGCTCCTGAGGACCCTCCGCCTCCTCCCTACTTCTGGGTCGTGGGAAACGGTTGGGCCGGCTTTTTTTGCCAAGCTAGGAGCCCTCTCGGTCAAGCTCCCAGAGGCCCATGCTCGGTTCTATAAGGACTCGCTGACTGAGGCAGCCCAGTACGCCAAGTATTTGTCTTGGGCGGCCCAGAGAAGCTGTCAGCTTGACCTGTGGGCTGAGAAGGCTGTCCTGACGGCGGCCCCAAGCAGAGCTCCCAGGGCCAGTGGAGCCAGAATGGTGCTGCTAATACACGAGCATGACCTCATCGAGATTCGAGGGAGGCTCATGTGTCGACGATGCCGTCGCACAGCGAGGACCGCTGAAGCCCGCCGACAGTTGACGGGAGGCACGGATCGACGGTGTGTGCCTTCCACGATTTCCCGAATGCAGGCAAATCTGATCGAGGCTGCCGCCAGTGCCGCTGCGAGGCCGCCGACGGCCCGCTGGAGGTCTGTGGGGGGGCTGTCTGGTGGGCCTGGGGGTGCTTGTGGGGGGGGGGGGGGGGGGCTCGGCTGGGGCCGCTCCCGCTGAGGCTGGGCTCGGGGCCGCTGTGGCTCGGGACTCGGCTGGGGTGCGCTTGGGGGGGCCTGTGCCCGCCTGCGTTGGCGGGGTTGGGGCTTCTGGCGGGGCTGAGCTGGGGGCTCGGCGTCTCTGGCCTCTGTGGAGGCCGTGCGTGGGGGCCTGTGCCTGCCCGCGAGGGCGAGGCTGGGGCCCCGCTGGGGTGTGCTGCGGGCTCTGGGGAGCCTGCGGCGGCGGAGTGGTGTCACGCGCCAGGGGGGGACACGACGTCACCGCCACGGGTACGGTCGTCTGGTGTCGGCGGTGCGGGGCCTACGGGTCCGTCAGGGTGGGGAAGGCCTTCAGCTCCCCCTGCCCTGACCCCAAAGACTTGCCCAAGAGCAGGAGGTCAGTCCTCAGTGCTCTCCAGAGAGGCAAGCACCCCAAGACTGGGCAGTCCCTCACGGGGTGACTGGGAGTCTGGGGGTTTCCTTTTCCCTCTTAGAGTGGTGTCTGTGAGCAGACGCTTTCTCTTCAGTGCTTCCCTGCTTCCCTCCTCTCCTCCTCCTCCTCCTCCTCCTCCTCCTCTCCTCTCCCCTCCTCCTCCTTCCCCTCCCCCCCCTCTCTCTCTCCGCTCCTCCTCCTCCTCCTCCTCCTCCTCCTCCTCCTCCTCCTCCTCCTCAGTCCCCTCCTCCCCTCCTGCTCCTCCTCCTTTTCTTTCTTCTCCTCCTCTCCTCCTCCTCCTCCCTCCCCCTCCCCTCCTCCGCCCTCTCCTGCCCCTCCTCCTCCTCCTCCTCCTCCACCTCCTTTTCCTCCTCCTCCTCCTCCTCCTCCTACTCCTCCTCCTCTCTCTCCTCCTCCTCCTCCTCCTCCTCGTCCTCCCCCTCCCCCTCCTCCTCTCCTCCTCCCTCCTCCTCCTCCTCCTCCTCCTCCTCCTCTTTCTCCTTCTCCTCCTCATCCACCACATCCTCCTCATCCGACGCCTCCACATCCTACTCCAACTCCTCCTCTCCCCTCCTCCTGCTGTTCCTCCTTTTATTCCTCCTCTTCCTCCTCCTCCTCCTGGAAAATGGTGGGCGCTGGGAGAGCAACGAGGAGGGACCGGGCAACGACAAAGAGAGGAGGGAGAGGGGGTCAGGGGTTGGGGGGAGCGGGGGCGAGAACGACGAGGAGGATGCGTGGGGGACGAGGGGATACAGCTGGACCTAGGAAAGAATCATACCCTTCAAGAGCACGAGACCCTCCGCTGGTCAAACTGAAGAGCACTCGAGGACACCCTCCCACCGGATGCACAAGAACACCCAACCAACACGAAAACACTAGGGTCCCCGAAGCGACCTCGATCTTCCGACCGAAGGGGCAGCGGGGCAAAATGTGACAAGGATGGAGGGGACGAGGGACAAACGCTGTGACGCCTCGGTGATGCAGGAACAAGTAGCATGGGGCTGGGCCGCCCAACCGTGCGCCAGGCAGAGGCGGGAAGGAAGGGAAGAGGGGGAAAAGGGTGCGGGGAAGGAACGGGACTCGGGGCACGGCGCTAGCAGTAGCAGAAGGGTTTGCCATGGCGACCAAGACACAAAGGCACACAATCAAACGATCCCAAAGAAAACGCATGCGAAACAGGCTTGCAGAACCTTCCGGCAGGCAAATCCTGTTTTGCACGATGTAACTCGTTCGATAGGTGATGGTAGCAACGACGTGCGGGTATCCGTGCAATGCTGAATGGGCGATCCTAACACCGTGTGTATCTTCTACAATGCGCAAACCCAGCACCTTGTCAACTGCGCGAGTGAGCATGATGCAGGGTCTGTTCGCTGTCTGGGGAGGTTGCCGAACGTTCCCCTGGGCGCCTTCCATCGCAACGCACTCGTAGATCAAACTGTCTGTACTGCCAGCAGGCGTTATTATGTTCCGCTTGACGGCCCAAGAGCGCGCTTCTTTATGTTCGGCGATAATAAGCATTATTTGGGGGGGAGGGGGCTGGGGGGGGTCTAATGTCACGCCTCCCCCACGCCGTGTGCCCGATGCGCACGCCGGCAGTGCCCGGAACGCACTGGGTGCGGAGGGGCGTTACGTCATAGGGGGTGGGGGGGAGGGGGGGTGGGGGGCTACAATGCCCATTACGCCCCAAGCAATGAAGAAACACGCTCCAAGAAAGCTGCAAACTGCTCCAATTAGGCTGCGCCATACCTTGCCTTGGGACCATCGCGAGATGGGCCAAACGGCCGAAGCGCCCGCTGGAGCCCCGACACGCTCACAACGCGCCGCCTAACCAAAGAGAGACCACAGACTCGGCCGAGGAGGCACCCTCCAAGGAACCCGCGAGTCAAGCCAATGAAGCCGTGTATCCTTCAGGACGCGTGGGCATGCAGACGGCTGCGCTGTGAGCATGCTCCTCGTGGAACAATTCGCGCACCAACACGTGCCAGAGGCGACAAGGCAGCACTGGAGGAGGAGGAGGAGGAGGAGGAGGAGGAGGAGGAGGAGGGAAACGAGGGAGGAGGAAGGGAGCTGGTAGGGAGGAGACGAGGGGAAAGAGGGAGGAGACGGGGGATAATGAATTGCCAGGGGGAAACATGACAATGACGAGGGAGACGAGAGAGACGAGGGACAGATTGAAACCGTAAAAGCGAGCTGGCAAACCGAGCCAAGGCCCGCGGTGGGCGTGACGATCCCTCGTTGGGCTGCCGAGGCCTCCGGCCAGTGCCGGAGCCGGCCATCACAAAAAGGGATGAGAACCGGGGCTCACGTATAGCGGGGGTCAGCGCTCACAGCGGTCAACCCATCCCCGCTGACTGACACGGGTTGGGGAGCCACGTGGGGCCGATTCCCCCTGTCCGCCCTGCGCCGACCCGGGTTTGAGAGCTGCCAAGCGGCCGGCCCAGCTTCGCGACATGGCCCTGGCCGGCCCGGGGTTGTGCTGACCTGGGTCAGGCCGCCCCCGAGGGAAGCTTTCCAGCGCTTCTGTGTCACACGTCCCCGTCAGAAACATGCATCTGCGCTGGCACTGGCCTGGCCCATCCTGGGCCCCAAATGAGCGAACGCGCCCTCCTGGCTCGGCCAGGGAAGTCTACGGCACCTATCCTGGGCTCCCGCCGGGGCCATGCCTGGATCAGTGTTCGTGCATACTTCTCTTCGTCGTCGTCGTCGAGTGGAGCTCAGGCGACAACATCGGCAGCGCATCGGACGTGGATGCGACTGCGGCCTGCCTTGGGCATCCTGTGCACAGGCCGCGGGATGGGGCCGAAGAGCCAAGAGCAGCCCGAAACGAACCACGACAGAGATTCCCTAGACAACTGCAATCATCTCGGGCGGCGCGCCTCATGGGCGAGTGACGGAACCTCGCGCCTCACACGAATCAGAGGATGTGTTTCATCCTCAAGTTTCAACGCGCCTCCCTGGTTCTGTCGGACCGCATGGGAAAAGATCAGCAAAACCATCTCGCCCAAGACAGACCAATAGTATCCTCGAAGCCAGTGCCCCCCCCCCCTTGGGGGAGAATTCGCACATTTGGCTTGATGCTGCGCTGGCACGATGACAGGATTTGCCGTGTGCAGCTATACGGACTGCTGTAGTCAGATTCGACTTCCTCCTGAACCGACTTCAGGGATACCTGACACAGGAACGCATATCGTTCAGGACGCATGCCATAGTTCCCGATCCTGGAGACAGGACAGAACGCTCTCCTTCAGGGCATGCAGCTCTGTGCCAAATCACATCTACATGTTCGGCCTCAGTCAAAAGACCACGTGACCCTATCTGAGCTGGTCGGATCCAATGCGCCAACCAATTCAAATATTATAATCCACTTCAGTGCAGTAACCTTGGTGCGTGTGTGTATATATATACATATATGTGTATGTATACAACCCATCACAATCACGGGGATAGAGCGTGAGGACGCAAGGCGCCGAGAGCGGGCCAAGCCAGGGGCACGCTTGGACCAAGGAAATAGAAGCAGACGACACACGAGCATGTCCAGATCAGAGAGATGCAGACCCAGACACGCGATGTCTTGTTTTTCAATCCAGGGTCCCCGGCTTTCCCGAAGGCTAGTTTTCATCGCGAGTAAATTTGATGGTCCTGGGGCTCGGCGAGGGACCCCAGATGTACAAAACAGCCAAACATGTACAGTCGTGTCTACTTCAAGACGTTAGCATGACTACGAAGGCCCCTCTCTTCGAAGGCTCATCCTCAAGGCCGTCTTCGACTGCACCACTCCTGCACGCTGCACAGATGCCCTCCGCGCCTTCCCGAAGAGCAGGCCGGTGACCACGGGTGTGCCGATCACGATAGCGCCGGCGGGGCCTGAAGCGACGGTTCTCGCGGAGGGAGGGCGGCACAGGATGCGCGAGGCCGCAGGCTGGTGTCCGGCAGGCCATTTGGTACAGTGGGAACCCGACCACAAGAAGCCTTCCACAAGAAACCCTAACCCTGAGACCCAAGGGAGTCCATTGATTTTTGTGTGGGAACGTCGTGCCTTCCACAGCAAAACCATCGAAACCCAAGAAACCCAGGGCACCCTGAAGGCAACTAGGGTGTTTCTTGGCATGGGCCTCCACTGTAAGGCGAAGCATGGGGTCCCTTCAAACGGTAAGGCGGTAGACCGTGCGGTGACCCCGAAATCCTGAAAGGCCTCACCGCGAGGTCCGTCACCACACTGTTTTTTGGGATCCCTTGGAGGCCCCAGTCGTCGAGAAGCACCCTCAACAAAACGGCCCGAGCCCCCAGAACCGCGCGGTGACCCCGAAGCCCCACGACGGCACCGTGTCGGGGCCTCCGAGGAGCCAGGGCCATAACGAACTCGGACCGGGATACGTCGGGACCCTCTGAAATCTGGCAACTTTGAGGGAAGAACCGGGCGCCGCGGCCGTGGCAGAGCCCGCCCGAACGCTCCGAGAGAGTTCCCCCCAGGAGTGTTGTTCCAGAACGCTCTGGAACTATTTCATGCTGATCTTGGCCCCGCCCGACTTAGTGGCGGGGCCAGAGCCCTGGCAAAAGTGTACACGGTCGAGAGAAGCGGTTCTCCCGATCTCCCCACAGTGACGGATCAGCGTTAGTGTCAAGCGTACTTGTGGCGCGATGGGGCTGAATCGCTGAATCGAGAACTGCGCCTCTGAAGAAAAACGGCAGTGGGGACCGGCTCATGGGGGCGAAACATGGTGCTGGAATCGGCGATACATCGCCGATAGATCAGTGGTAGGCTCCCGATAGAGTGTCCGAACGTTCCTGTCGGTGATCAATGTGCGATTGTGGGTCGATGCGTCCACCCTGAGCCCCTTTCCCTCAGCGGCGCAAGCGGTCGCCACATACTTGGGGCTAGCCCCAAGTCGGTCTTCTCCTCGGAAACGTTGCTGGGTATGGACAGGTGGTGTGAGGAGAGAGGCGGTAAATGCGAGGCGGGAACTTTTCCATAACCACTGCCTGGGGGATAGATCTTCGGAGACGTCGACAGGCGGTGGATACGAACATACTTGGACACCCAAGACCCGAACATATCCATATCCACCGCCTCCCAATATCCCCGAAGATAGACCTCCCAGGCAAAGGCAGGGCAGTCGTTCAGCATGTGGATATCTGAAACGCTGGCAGGCACGGCAGATGCAAGGCATCATTCTCCTTACGTTTGCTGACCCCTCGACGCCGCACGGTCGAGTGAACAGACACGAGATTGCGGAGACGAGCTGCTCGAGAAGGTTGCAACCAGCTGGCAGGAAACGCAAACAGACTCCATGCCCACCACGAGCAACGTGGCCCAGAATAGGTGCAATTGCAATACGAACAAAAAACGCGTGTGAGCGCATTCCGTGCCAAGGCACAAAGCACATCGCATGGAAAGCGAGTCAGAGGCACACCTTTCAGCCAACAGGGACGTCCTCCTCCTCCTCCCGATCATTGCTCCCTGTGGCTGTGTGCCAGGACAGCGAGTGCGTAGAACTGCCTGCTTGACCCCCCGCCTGGACACGACATGACGAAGGCTTGGAACTGCCACCCTGTCGGGCCAGCGCTGGATGACGTAAAGGGCGTGCCACTCTCCCTCTGCTCCTGCCTAGCCATCCTATTCCGAGGTGGTATCACTACAAAGTTGGATGCTCATTCTGGGGACCTTCCTGGAGCCACTCGCTCCACTCGTACGTGGAAGCTGCGTCGAACGTCCGTCCATTTGAATCGACCTTGAGTCGACCCGACTCCAACCTGAATCGAATTGAATCGAACTTGAGTCGAACATATCCGTTAGGTGGGCCCCAGGCAGGTCCCCCAAACGAGCATCCAAACAAAGATAGCCGCACAAGCGTGAATGCAGGAAACGGCTCCAAAGAAGAGAAGAGCTGAGCTCGCCCATCTGTGACAACGACGCCTCCGCTTCCCACCGTCAAGAGGGCCGGGTGTTTGTTACCCAATCGAATTATGACACACGAATCCCATCACAACTCAAACATCTCACATGCATTGCAACTGACCAGTTAGAAGTGACCAAGACGCGTCCTGTTTGTGGCATCTGAAGTGGTCCGCCGAATTGGTTGCAAGCGCGCAGCACGCACGGACAACATTACCTGTCGTGGTCTACAACTACACCACGCCCAATTTGGATGAGAATGAATACGACGATCCCGTACCGTGTTGCCAGTTCTGTTCTGTCCTCAGGCCCCTTGCCTTCGAGTCCTCACTACTGTTACTATTGAAGACTACGGTTGCCAGCGTGGACACCAAACAGAGAGCTCTTGCATTCTGAGTGTGAGGGCGAACGCGGTGCACGCTGAGTGTTGCAAGCAGCACATCCTGCGAGCGCTGCAGTGATATGGATGTGTGGTGCAATCTGTGATGCGGGAGCAATGTATGTATATATATATATATATATGTATATATATGTGTGTGTGCGTGTGTTGCAAGCTGTGCGGTGAAAGCTTCGAGGCGTAAGCAGAGTGGTGTAGGCTGTGCAGCACAGGCAGCGGCGGCGCAGGCAGCGCCTGGGCGCCCGCGCGGTGCCCACCGAGGCCCACGCCTCGACACGCCCCGCCGGCGCGAGAGGCGAAAACGCAGCCAGCGCACGGGGAGGCCGAGACCACCACGAGGCGCCCCCGGTCCGCCGCCCTGGGCTCCCCCGGCGGTGGCCCCCCGTGGGCCTCGTGGGGGGTGCTCTCTGGAGAGCGCGGGCACCTCCCCTGGCCATCCTGGGGGGCACCTCGCCCAGAGGCTTCCCGGTGGCCTTCGGCCTCGGCCCGCCGTCCCTGCGCCAAGGCCTTGACTGAAGGGGCCCCAGGACACACAAATAAATACACACAAATAACAAGTTTCCCCATATCTTCCCATATGTTCTGGGTTTTTGTATTCCCCCCCACCTTCCATATTTTCCCATATTTTCCTTGGAATCGACGATTAATTGTGTCTGTGTTTTTTTTCCCTCCTGATCATTGATGACCAGCACCACCCGTCCCCCAACACGGTCAAGATACCTTCGTCGGCGGCCGAAGGTGGTCCCAGATGGGTCCCGAGATGGCTTCGGATGCCTCGGAGATGGCTCAAGAGGCCCGAAGACAGCCCGAAAAGGGTCCGAAAGGCTTTCTTTGGGGTCCCTTGCGCTGTCTTGGGGGGCGTCCTGTCGAGGCAGGGGGTTGGACATCATGCGGGATTATACCCTCTTTGTCGGTCTTGGGATCGCCCTAGACGGTCCACGAGGCCCCACAAACCATCTAATGCGGCCCACATGAGCCCCCAGAGAACCCCAATATGGTCCCCATACGGCCGAAAGAAGACCCTAGACGGCCTAAATTATCCCAAGACGGCCCAGATAGGCATCCACAACGTGCTCCGAAGGCGCTGGACGACACAAGAGCGCCACAAAACTGCGCCCCCCCCCCCCCAGAGAGCCCCCACAAGGCGAACCGAATAGGCAATGATTCGCACATGATCTCGACGTGGCTTCCAGCAGGCCGCAGGGCAATCCAAAGGCGGCTCAATCTGCATTTGTATCTAACTATGTACACAAACATACATTTACACATACGCATTTTGTGAAGGCACACATCTACACTTTTACACATATATATATATATATATATATATATATATATATATATATATATATATATATATATATACACGTATACACAAATATACATGTATCTCTATTATCATACGCACCTCTCCGAGGCAGTAGAGCTCAGAGGCGATTAATGCGCACGTCGTCCGCGATGTTTCTGGCCGTTTCGCTCGGGACATCCTCGAAATTCTGAAAATCGGTGGCACCCCTCACGCAGATCGTGACGTCAGGGTCCAAAAACACATGGGAATTTCAACATTTTAACATAAAACCTTCAAAAACACATGGTAATTTCAATAATTTGACCCCGATTCTCAGAGAATGGCGGTTTCGCCTGAAAAATCCTCCCAAAATCGAGCCCCAGACCCCTCCTCGGAGCCTCCTGGGGGCCTCCTGGAACCTCCTGGGGCCTCCTGGGGCTTTCTGGACCTTCTGGTACCCCAGACCCCGCCTCGGAGCCTCCTGGAGTTCTCCTGGGCCTGCTGAGGCCGCCTGGGGCCTCCTGGGGCCTCCTGGGGCTTCAGAACTACATGCACACACAGAGACACAAATCACGCCCAACACATCACACGCTAGACAAACATAACATACACACACACAACACCGACAACACACAAAAAGCACGCACCACACAAAGCACACATCACACACAACACTCACAATCCTTGGGCATCCTGGAGCCTCTTCTGGTATCCAAGTCGGGCCTCCTGAGGCTTCCTGGGGGGCCCTGGTACACACATCGCAAGGTGTGGCAACCCCACTTGCGCTCGAGTGCGACTTCGCTGTTGCATGTCACTCCTGCTTCAAACGCCCCTTCAGCTTGTTGTATGAGCCTGGGCACACACGTGCCACATGTATATATATATATATATATATGTATATACATGCATGTACACATATACACACATCGATGTGTGTATGTGAATGATTGCACATGAGGCTTCATACGTCTCTTCTGGGGGTGACCAAAATTGCGGGCAATGTGTGCCATGTGGCGGCGTGGAAGACATTCACGGAACCTTCGCAACACCGTTGCCACTCACAACGCTGAAGTGTATCCACAAGTGAAGCGACATTTCGTAGACCCGCCTGACTGGAGATGTATGAACCTAACATGAAGGTCGCTCTTTGCTCGTCCGTCTGACGACCCTTCCCGTCCTTCGTTGATATCTGGATGCAGTGGTCATACCAGTCGTACTCTGGCGTTTCCAATGCATCCAAGTCCCCGTGTATTATCCTGTGCGGCCAACGGGCATCTAACATTCATACTCTTTGACAATCACGGGTTGCGAGTACAATACGTTGTATTCAACGCTTCCGATCGCACCACTTGCACATGGACCTTGACAAATGCTTCCTGACTCGGAACTCGTGCGGGTCAGCTTCATGACC